TAGTAAAAATCTGCTATTTAATTATCTAAAGATTTCTCAGCCATTCTAACAGACACTGTTTGTGCCGTATTTTCAAGCATATTACGTGTGTTTTATTGTTAACGACAATAAAGCAGCGGGGAGGGGGGGGTAGATTACAGTTCAGAGTTTTTGCTTGAAGTATGACGAAGAAAAACGAGCACAGAGTTTACTCTGGTATCGGAGTTCTAGTTCAGCTGACTGTTCAGATTCAGAGTTATTACTTTTAGAAAAATATGGCCGTGTTGCTTAAGATTCTGTGTTATTTCGTTTTATTACTTTTGCATGCTTGTTGTGAATGGCTCATTAAGACGGTGTTTAGAGCGGTGTGTACGGCGTTAGCTTCAAGTGGTAGCTTTAACTTGTAGCAACGAATATTTACAAGCTGTCTTAATTGAGGATGGCTTGGAAATCCATGAAAACCTAAACAAAGTACATAGTATTGTTTTATTTGTGTCTTAAGTACGACTTTGTCTTTTATAGCAGTCATAGTTTCTGAAAGTGGAAAAAAGAGCCGCATTCGGGTATACAGTTGTGACGTCAGCGCGGCAGGTGCAAAGAGCCCATTGCTGTTCGTTTAAACAGTCGTAACTCGCGGTGCGGTGAGTAATTTATTCCTTCCTGCTGGTTCTGGAAGCCGTCATGTTTGGAACAGTTATTCTGAGGAGGATGCTAACCCAATCCCTGAGGCCTGTAACGTTTTTAATGCTAACGAACGCTTTACTAATTCAATAAACTGAATAGTGTGTGTGATACATCCAGTTTCATACATTGAGAGTTGTATGTTATTATGTATAGAGTATGTTTAAAATGTCGTTTGAGAGAGCTCTGGGAATATGCTAAGTATCATTTTACCGCTCCATTGGGGTTGTAATATTTAGTTGCAGCACTTCCTGTGATTAATACCTAATTAATGGATGGGATTCAGCCTGTGCTGTTGTTCTAATGTGCTGAAAGTTAACTGTGCTCTCTTATTGTGCATTGCCCTTGGTTTATTACTGAACAGTGCGGTTTATTAAACACATACATCTTAACCTTCACCATTTTCCTGACTCATTTCACGATAACGTCAAAGTTGCACTGCATTTAGATCTCAGTTGTAGTTCACATCAAAGCATGTGGGTGTGGCTTAGTGTAAAACTTTCACTATTTACCATGAAACATCAACATTAAATGACTTCCAAATGCAAGATCACAGCTGCATCATCACACTTCCTCTGTCTTTCTAGAGAACAGCCCTGAACACATTTCCATGGTCACTTGATGACCTCACTGTAGCCCCGCCCACTTTTAAGAGGCAGTCACATGTTTTTTTCTGCTGTATGTTTTACTGTTATTTTATAATTTATATGGGTTTCATCATGTGAATACTGACTAAAAACGATAACATGATGAACTCTATGAATGCTGGCTGCTGACCGAACCGCATTGGGGTGTAGAAATGACGAAATGCATTACTTCACCATGTACATACGATCGGCTCTAAATGACACGTGGATCATCGGACTGACGCCAAATTGGATACGTATGACCTTTGTTGACCTCTAAAGAGCAAAACAGCATTGAATATATTTTGGCTCCACTGCGCCCCTACATTAATCCGCCAGCTATATTTCCTCGCTAAACCAATGAATCTATACCACATTTTTTTGCATCGTGAAGGATAGCCGCCGAACGCATAGATGCGTACCGCCTGGTGGACGGGCGCGGAAACTGCACAACAACATCTGTCTTAGCACTGGGCAGCGTTGATGGAAACTGAGCAACAGCTTCCGCGGTGCGGGCGGAGGCGCTGAAAACTACGTGAGACCTTCTGTGGTGGTGGCGTGAGGCGGCGGTTGCTCATACCCCCCGGTGGCAATAGGCCGGAGCGGCGCTTGGCTGCGAGGGCCGTTCGAGGCTGCTTGCAGCTTTAATTATTATTATTATTATTCCACCCAAATGAATTGGCTTTTTGGGGGCTTTATCATATTCAAAAACTCACCAAACTTGGCGGGGGCCTTAAGCCTGTTTAAAATTTACGTATTTTAAAGTCTTCGCAAAAATTGCAACAGAAATGGCTCTACGGCGCCACCTAGAAATTGTAAAAACACCCTTTTTTACCCTCTGCTATTCACTTACTTCATCGTAGAGACATAAAATTTGGTACACTTGTAGAGCTCCCAAGACGCTCAAAATTTACAATTAATGTCAGTGCAAGTATCACAGGAAGTCAGCCATTTTTGATTGAAGTTCCCATTTTGACCCCATTTTTGCCGATTTTTGCCGTTTACAGCCTTTGTATTTGATCTATCTCCTCCTAGGGATTTTGATTGATCGACTTCAAACTCGGTCAGTCTGTTCATAAGGCATGTCCCATCTAAAGTTATCTAAACAGTGAGTTTTTGAGTATGCTGACGGGGGGTTAGCAGGGGTCAAAGTTCACCTACTCGCCATAAAAAAATAAACTGCTATATCTCCTACACAGAAACTCACAGAAGCACCAAAGTTTCTGTGATTGATCATCATCGGCAATACCCTATGATCGAATGATGACATCACTTAGGCCACGCCCCCTGAGAACAGGAAGTGTAATGTTTTACTGTGAACTGTCGCTATCTGACCCCTTTGACCTCATCAACATGAAACTGTGCCCAGACACAGAAAACATGTTGGTGTATTGAGGATTCCAACCCGACCAGCTTCGATGGAGCAGGTGGCGTGGTGGCGTGGCGAAGTGACCTGTAACGCCATCGCCATACGTTTGGCTCTCAATTCCACATTTTCGGGCCCAGCTGCTGCAAACTCATAAGGATGGATCCCCATCACCTCCCCAAAAGGAATCCATCACAATATTGGTGGGCATAGCCTAATTTCTCTATAGCGCCCCCTAGAAAACTTTAAATGATCAGCCCCAAGCCATGCTTTAACCTACAATTACGAAACTTTGTACACACGTGTACCATGTCAGGACGTAAAAAAAGTCTCTTGGAGCCATGGTCTAAACCCCACAGGAAGTCGGCCATTTTGGATTCAAGTTCGGTTTTTGACCCCATTTTTGCCTTTTACAGCCTTCATATTTGATCTATCTCCTCCTAGGGATTTCGATTGATCGGCTTCAAACTCGGTCAGTCTGTTCATAAGGCATATCCCATCTAAAGTTATCTAAACGGTGAGTTTTTGAGTATGCTGAAGGGGGGTTAGCAGGGTCAAAGTTCATCTACTCGCCGTAAAAAATAAACTGTTATATCTCCTACACAGAAACTCACACAGGTACCAAAATTACTGTTGTTGATTATCATCGGGTCTACTACAATACCCTATGGTCGAATGATGACATCACTTAGGCCACGCCCCCTGAGAACAGGAAGTGTCATGTTTTACTGTCAATGGTCGCTATCTGACCCCTTTGACCTCATCAACATGAAACGTGCAAAGACACAGAAGACATGTTGGTGTATTGAGGATTCCAACCCCGACCAGCTTCGATAGAGCAGGTGGCATGGCGGCGTGGCGAAGTGACCTGTAACGCCATTGCCATACGTTTGGCTCTCAATTTTATTTTTAACGTTTTATTTTTTTTTTATAATTTTGTTTTGTGGGTTAGAGTACAAACATTCATTAATTTTGGCTAGAAATAATACACAAACATCGTCATTCAGCAAAACGTTTATTCACTACACAAATGACAGCTCCGCTGAGTAAAATGGGGTCAGGTTGATGGAGTACCACTGCCCCCTGCTGGCGCAATAATGGTACTGCTGGCGCAATACCAGTATTGCGCCAGAAGGAGGCAGTGGTACTCCATCAATGAGAAAACAGATCTATGGCGAACGGCCGTCAAAACGTTTCGAGCGCGTTTGCCGTGAGATTTCCAAAAGGATAGCGGTTACATTTAACCTGAAATGTTATATGTAAGCCCTCAGATAATATTTGTTGGCTTAAAACACGGAGTAAATGTAGCGTTTTGTTAATGACTGTTATTTAATACCGCAAGTAAATGCATGAATTCCAGCCGTCTGTGCATTACTGGTCAGTTAAGTGTAACTGTCGTGGAGCTGCTACGTCACAGCAGTCGGCCGGCGACAGCTGTAGCTGCGAAGTTTTCCTGAACATTTTGCCTGCTTTTAGGAGCCACAGAACTGGACTACGCTCAACATTTTGCTTGTGTTTTGGAGTTGGAAATCCGAACCACGCTTTTGAGCAAGAAGGCTCTGTTTGACCGGAGTTGGAGCAGTTTTAATGCGCTCTTTGCACCTGAGCTTCCGCGTTCCGGAAATACGGCTCAAATGTTTTTCCAAGGTAACAATTAATAATGTACATCGATCCGAAGCCCAAACAAGTAAGCCGGAGAAAAGTTTTAAGATGTTCGCCTCGTTATACATTCACAAATATGAAGGTGAGTTTTATTTTCTCTAAACTGCTAGCACAAGCCTGCTAGCTTGTGCTAGCAGGGATTATTCTCTGACATTTCTTGTAAAAATCTGCTATTTAATTATCTAAAGATTTCTCAGCCATTCTAACGGACACTGTTTGTGCCTTATTTTCAAGCATATTACGTGTGTTTATTGTTAACGACAATAAACGCAGCGGGGACGGGGGGATTGGGGTTATGACGAAGAAAAACGAGCCGAGAGTTTACTCTGGTATCGGAGTTCTAGTTCAGCTGACTGTTCAGATTCAGAGTTATTACTTTTAGAAAATATGGCCGTGTTGCTTAAGATTTCTGTATTTCGTTTTATTACTTTTGCATGCTTGTTGTGAATGGCTCATTAAGACGGTGTTTAGAGCGGTGTGTACGGCGTTTTCAAGTGGTAGCTTTAACTTGTAGCAACGAATATTTACAAGCTGTCTTAATTGAGGATGGCTTGGAAATCCATGAAAACCTAAACAAAGTACATAGTATTGTTTTATTTGTGTCTTAAGTACGACTTTGTCTTTTATAGCAGTAATAGTACAGTTGTGACGTCAGCGCGGCAGGTGCAAAGAGCCCATTGCTGTTCGTTTAGAATGACCAGCTTGTGACAGTGGTTGGTCACTTCAGTAGCTGGCCACGGCCTTACAGCATGGCGCCAGCCAGTACCATGCCCTATTGAAATACAAAAAAGAAAGAAAAATTATTTAAATATAGAGTGTGAACTCTGGATATTTCATTTGAAATCCAAATAAGACATTCAATTTAAAGAAATGTAATGAAACTAATAACTGACGTGGAACAAAGTCGCTGGAAGGCCTTGATGTCCCTAAACGCAGAGTCTGAGCGGCGGCCATTCGTTTCTTTCCAGCTGCAGACCGGCGATGAGACTTTGCACGAGGCATCTGGAAATCAGATAAATTCTGTGATTTAATGAGTCTATGCTTATTTTCAGGCCCAAATGAGTAACTTTACGTTCAAATACGAGACGAAAAATGAGCAACCCGCGACTTAATATTACATTTACAATAGACTTTAAAAGAAATGAAAACACTGTTACTGTTAGATAAATACCAATGAAATCTACGATGAAAAGTGAATAAGCAGTTCTCTTTGAGATGTGTCTTCTTCTAATTTAGGAAAACAACATTTAACACAATTACATGCTCTCTGTTTTCTTTTAATTCAGACATTTTTTAACATCCATAAAACATAGCATCTAACAACCTGAAAACTGTTCAGGCTGTTAGCTAATGTTACATTTACAAGAGACTTTAAAAGAAATTAAAAAAATACTGTTCCTGTTATATATATATATATATATATATATATATATATATATATATATATATATATATATATATATATATATATGTGACTTCCTCCCCAATACAGCACACAGCGGAGACCAGTTGGGTAAATTTCTGTAATGAGTGTTAACAATAACAAAAACACAGTAAGCCTCTCTACTGGTTCGCCAACTCTGGGTACACAGTAGAGTTTCTGACAGACTGAGTCCTACAATAATCACTACAATTGCATTTTTAACAGGTGATCGTATAGTGGATTTTCATTAATATCAAAACTTTCAAATAAAATTCATACAATACTTCTCTTATAAATCAATAAAATCAGGAAAATAAACATAGGCAGCAGTCAAATTTAACTAACTAACTATCCAACAGTAACTTCCAACTGAAACAGAGAACAAACTGACAGACAGGCAAACACAACAAACTGACAACATAATAAACACACTGACAAACTTAACTGAAAAATAACCGACAACACAACCGACAACATAAATTTCTGACATTAACATAATATAATTAGCTTACCTGTAATGAGTGTTAACAATAACAAAAACACAGTAAGCCTCTCTACTGGTTCGCCAACTCTGGGTACTGCAACAAAACTCCACGTTAGTCTCAGAACACAACCACTACTACTGCTCAGAAAGGAACTGGACCCGATGACCCACCACAGTAGAGTTTCTGACAGACTGTGTGGAATCTGCAGTTCTTCCTCCTTTTATAGGCAACCAGTAGGGGGCGCCAAAAAAACACTCATCACAGGACAACCATAAAACCCATACTAGCAGAATTTAAACTGAACCATTTCAACTATGTTACATATATATATATATATATATATATATATATATAAATACCAATAAAATCTACGATGAAAAGTGAATACACAGTTCTCTTTCAGGTGTGTCTTGTTCTAATTTAGGAAAACAACATTTAAAACAACTACATACTCTCCGTTTTCTTTTAATTAAGATATTTTGTAAAACCCGTAAAACACAGCAGCTAACAGCCTGAAGACTGTTCAGGCTGTTAGCTGCGAGCACGAGCTAACACTCTGAAGTTTGTGCTGACAGCTGCTAGCACGAGCAGCTGCTCTCACGAGCAATTCACTCCAACAGTTTGTGAAAGACTGATTGAAATCTCAGCGTACAGAACATTCAAGAGGTCAACCAACCAATCAGATTAAAAAAATTAAAACAAGCCAACCAATATTTGCTGATGTCACTACGTATTACATATTGAGACGTGCCATACAACATAAACATAAATACGTATATGTCTATGGCAGGCTGATTCAACATTTATTATCTATCATCTGAGTATCCGTAATTGAATTCTAGATATCTAAAAATCTATATTCAGTTAAGAAAACTTGATTTTTATTTAAGATATCTCCAACCTACTACCAGCTACTTATTATTAAAATGTTAGAAATCTAATTCAAGGATTAAGTGTAAAGAGAACCAAAAAGTTGCCTGCAGAATGTAATATACAGTAAGCAATTTTAACATCAATACAGATTAGTCCTGCTGTCCGTAATTACATTATAATTATTTAAAAATGCACTTGACTGAGAAAACTACATTTCAACTATTTTTAATGTAAATGAATTTATCTAAATGTACTTTGTCTTTATTAAAAACAATCATTTATGACATCTTAAATTACATTTTGACGGCTGAAAGTTACTGTAAAGATATATAAAATGATGTCACTGCATCTATTTCAATCTGGATCAACTCACACAGAGAAAAATAAGCAGTTAGGAGATTTTAATGAACAAATCTTTGGCGCTCGAACCGGCAGAAGACTAGTGAGAGTAGATCACCGGAGGAAGATGCTTAGTCCAGCGAAGCTCACTAGTCTTACCCCCCGGTCCGAATAATGGTGATGGAGCGGAGCCTTGGATGGAGGAGCGCGTAGGGCGCCTGGAGAATGGTCATCAGGCTGAAGGTGGAGATGGGGAGGAGGTGGGCGAAGCACAGCTGACGAGCAGGCAGATCCCCGGAGGCTCAACTTCTTGAATGGACCGGCTTGACGTTGATTGGCTGGGACGCGCAAGGGCTCCGATCCTGATTGGCCGCAGCGGGGTGTGACGTGATTGAAGTGGATCAGCTGTGTTTGTAGATCAGCTGTGTTCTGTCACCCAGCTTGAATTTACGCCTTAGCTCCATTTGAGAGGATACACATCGATTATCATAATTTAACGTATGTGAAGGTAATTAATTTAAAATATTTTATGTGGTAAAGGTATCTAATTAAAGATATCTCTAATTAATTTGGAGATATCTTAAAAGGAATTTTGAGTTGTTGCTGACATAACTCAGAACATCCCACAAAATTGAATGTAGGGTATAAAATACCGACCTTCATAAAGCATTGTTATAAAAAGTATTATAACTTAATGTCTGTCATTCACACATCCCAACATATTTGGGAATAGAAAAAAAAGCAGTAAAGATAACATCTCTAACTTTAACAATACTGTAAGAAACTAAAGATAACATTTCTAACTTTTTGATGGAACTATTTAGTTGTAGAAAAAGCACAGCATTTATATTTTACCTAACTAATTCTAATCACTCAATTTTATTAACTATTTCAACAACTCATAATTTAATTAACATTACTCGATTTAAAAAAAAACGTTATAAAACCTAATAACAGCTTATAATCTTTTATTACTTTTACTTGGGTAATTTAGTAACAATTTTAAGGATTCTATGTTGAAATTCTGTTATTACATTTTTTTCTTTAAATTTATACTACCTATTGTTCATACATAATTGGAGGATCTCTAGCAGTGATACTTTTGTTAGGGATTTACAGTTAACAGGAAAAAATTGATAATTGATATAAAATTAGACATCACAGGTGAGTAAGAAAATTATTTCTACATATATAATTCATATATTTGAACTGGTTTAGTAAATAAGCAAGTATTTGTTGCACTGGCCAGTATATGTATGTTATCTTGGATGTATCCTTTCTATGTCAATTCTCAATCTTCCACCTGCTGAGAATGTTCCTGCAACGTAATACTCCTCCCTCTCTCCAACAGCTCCTTACTTAACCCAGTTAGTTCTTTGTGTTGTCCATACCACTCTTTACCTACCATCCATGTTAAAACGGTAAAACTAGAAACCAAATAAATAAAATCTCACCTTACAACTGAGCTCTGTGAAAAACCACAAAACAGTTGTGTGAAATGAACATTTATACCAAACTTACTCTACTCTATTAATATCCCACTTGGTCCTTCTCTAAAAATGTAACTCAACTTCACATTAAACTACATTTAACCCGAGAGGGGTAAATTTCTTTTATCATGAAAAAAAGTGAAATAAATGAATTGACAATACAATAACTTCTCTTTATTAATAAACTTTTGAAAAACAAAACAAAAATTTAAATCTTACAAATATGAACTCTACATATACTTAGAAATTTATAAACTACTTATAACTTCAAAATACTTATAAACTTCAAAAAAGGAAATTATTCCTCAGTTGCCTCATTTTCTTGCCAGCTCATGTGCTGTGCCTCATCTTCACTGTCCTCTGTTTGAATGATGGCATCCCTTTTATCTGAAAGATTTTAACATAAAAAAACATCAAAACACATATACAAATTCAAAATATTTTTACAATTACAAACAAACATTAAACATTTTTAAAAAAACAAAGAAATGTAATCCTTCTTTGAAATTAAAAATATTGTCTCTCAAATTGTGGCAGAAAATACAGAAGACTATAATGCTGAAATAAGCAGCTTCACAGAAACAAATATAAACAAACTCTCTGCTTGAAACAAATATGAAGGGATACCTAGTACATGCTGATTAGAAAGGGGGTAAAAATTCATAAAATCGTTATTTAAAATCTAAATTAGTGAATGAATGTCCTTATATTGTGAAGCTCAATTTTAGTTTCAAATATAATTTTTTTTTATCAAAAGTTGATCTTTCCTTTTATTAACAATGTATTTGTAAGCTGAACTAAAATAATAAAGAATCCAGCAACAAAAAAATACTTTCTGTATACACTACAAGCACCTCATGATATACCATTGTATCATATGTTAATTAAGATTACAATATAAAAGAGAAATAAAAGCTAAAATGAACATGATGTACTATAAATATGCCTACCATCACTATAAAAGACAGCACAGCCTTCCAAGTCCTCTATTTTCTGCTGAGCAGCAGCCAGTTGGTCTTGGTAAATCTTCTCGTTTTTTTTTTTAGATTGTTTACTTCTGTTTTTTCCTCCTCCAATTGCTTTTGGAGGTATTTCAATTTTTGTTCGGCTGCCCTCAGCTGCCTCCCACGTTTTTCAATGGCCTCCAGACTTCCCTGGAAGGCCTCATGGACACTCCGTTCCAGGGCTTCCCGAGACACAGATGTATCTCTGCAATGGTACTGTAAGAAAAAAGAAAGATGAACTATTAAAAATATTTTAAAATGAAAACTAATACTTAACTCAACAGCACAATAAATAATAACAGCTATTAAAAATCTAATATGAAAACTATTCAATCACTGTAAATGGTTAATGCTACACATGCTTAGTTTGTGAACAAAAGTTTAAAATAAACAAAACATCTCAAGATAACTTAAAACTTGAGAAAGAAAAAAATTAAATCCTTTAAGAAGATAGTAACATTAAATATGTGAAAACTGACTGTCGCTGATATTGTCACATTATATTGTCGGTCACACAACAAGGGACGTAGAGGGAAAACAATTAAATAATTGGCCTGTCATGATAAACGATAAATCTATTAATCCCACAATACATTAAAATTATCAACCTTATTTCAATTATCGGCTATATCGTTTCTTCCTGCCCTTTTCTCTTACTGTTGATGACACTAAACTCCGGTGCTCTCCACTGACCCTCCCTTCCTTATTTTCTTAGTGTAAGGCCCAGCAAGCGCTGCACCATCTTGTGGCCGATTGTCGGCCCTTTATCAAAACCTGAGAGACACATCAGCCGACAGAAAGCCTCACTATAACGGTTTGATTGAAACTGTGTTGTGTCCAACAATGGACACAAAATAATAAGTCCAGTTCACTAACTTTGAAACCAGGCATTAATCTATTCCTGACTACAATCTACCTGCAATGCATTTGGCTAGTGTCAGTCTGACTGAATGAAAATTATTAGAACCTATTTATGTCACCTTAACAAAGAACAGCTGAAAAGTTACCGGGTTTTCTGGTAGTAATTTCGCTCCAACTCCTCCCCCAGTTATTTATATTTTCTTTGCAAGAAATGTTGAATAAACTTTCATGTTTCCACATATCATCTCCGATGTCTGCTGGACTTCGGGTTGCACCGTGTCAGCTGTTCAGGATTCCCTCCGTGTTTCCTCTCAGAAAACAGGAGGAGAATCCGCGCTTTCTGATTGGCTACCGGTCACATTCGACAGGCTGCGTTCAGCTCCCAATCTGAATAAATTCTTGATTTACATCAAAGCAGGAACAACGATCTACCATAATACACAACACAAGTGAAAATCTCATAACGAATAATGTTCTAAGATTGTCATTGAGGTTAAAAAATCTTGTAGTTTGAACTATTGCATCATTCAGTCGGATTCTTCTCTATTTAAATCTAATGATTACTGAAGAGCAATAAACTATACAGACCTCATAATCTGCACTCTTTTGGTTGAATGCAGTGTTTATTTCCACTTTGGCTTCATGTTGTTTAGTTTTTATTCAAATACATTTATTGTTAATGGAGACTGAGAATCTATTTTATTTTTGTTTTTGGTTGTTTTATTTATTTTGTGTATCAGTCCCAGTGTTAAGTGTCTTTTGAAAGTAAAGTGTTTCTATCCTTGGAAGGAAATAGCATGTATTATTATGTAATTTCCATTAAATCAATGTAAAAAGGTCTTCAAACAATATTATCGCTTATCGCAAAATTTTTTTTAGACAATTAATCCCCCAGCAAAATCTTTTATCATGAGAGGACTATTAAATAACAAAAGAAGATAGTAAGGCAAAGTGTTTTTGAAAAGTAACTGTAATCTGATTACTGGATTTGAAATACCAATGCGTTACATTACTTGTTACTGAAAAATGTGGTTCCACGTCGGTAATGCGTTACTTTGTAACGCATTATTGAGAACCCTGGCTGTGAAGCAACATTGTAATGCATTTAAATTAAACAAGAACACAAAAACCAGAATACCACAATGTGGTGAAAAATATGTATTCCAGGAATAACACCAAGAAAGAAATGCATATTACATGAACAGCTACCCTCATTAAAATACACAATTAAAAATTGAGAACTAAAACATGTTAGTATTTTATATTTAAATCACTCAAACAATTCTATGAATAAGAAGTCTTCATCAAAACAAACTATACAACTTGAACATCTTGAACAAAATATTAATTAAATAAAATTATAAAAAAACAGAAAGTTAAAACAATATCAGACCGGATCTGGTCTGATGACCAGATCCGGTTCTACACCAAATTTCCATCTTAATGTGTGTTCCAGATCTTCTGGGAGTCCATTGCACCCTCTGCATCACGCCTGGTGTACTGGTCCAGAGCACAGAAACTTGGAGACGAAGCATGTGCTAAAGCTAGCCCTGCCCGCTGCATGCCTCTGATTCACGGGTGCTCAAACTTTTTGAGACCAAGATCTACTTTTTCTCTCACCAGCCGGCTGCGATCTACCTCATCGCATGAAGACATACAAATTATAAATGAAACCCTATTGACTCATTTTCTATGCAAATATACATCAGTTATATCAGGAATGATAAAGTGATAGAAAACCTAATGCAGTTTCTTCCTCAGTGAGATTCTGACACTGAGAGCAGGTTACTGGTTTCTCAGTCAGAAGCTGGTTGCAAACCTGAGGCCAGCAGGTGTCAGTCAGTGATGGTAGATCTGAAATTTGGTTTGATGACGTCACTATGCGAAACTGCAGACTGATAGGAGGAACCAAAGAGCTCTGCAGAGGTAAAGGCAAAAACTCAAAACCTCCATGTGATCGACCGGTAAATCGCGATCGATGTATTCAGCACCCCTGCTCTGATTAATGAGTTCCTGATGTACTACTTTAGGGTTGCAGTGGGCAACAAGTAGCAGCTCATTGCTGATATGTTTCAAGTAAGCATAGCTACAGTCAGCCGAGTTACCATCACCTATGCTAACTACCTCTTAATTGTGTTATCTTCCATAAACTTGTGGATTAGTCGTGAGAAGGTAAAAGCAAGTATTCCTCAGAAAATTCTGAAGTTCTCTCCAAATGTCCGTGCCATCTTGCACTGCACAGAAGTTACTCTGGAAACGCAATCATCCCTCACCTTACAGTCTGAAACGGTCTCTGCCTACAAGAACCACACCACTCTGAAAGGGCTGATTGCAGTTGCTCCCTGTTGTTTGGTCACATTTATTTAAGCGTTGTACACAGGCTACATCTCCGACAAAGAAATGACAAAGGTCAGTGGAATCCTTCCTCTGCTTGAGCTGGGAGATGAAGTCATGGCAGATAAGGGCTTCCTCATTAAAGACCTCCTTCATGAAGTTGGAGCCAAACTTATCATTCTGCCATTTAGGCATCCTGGTCAGTTCAGCAAGGAAGAGAGAGAGGAAAACCCACACCATTGCTCAGCTGCAGATCATTGTACAGCGAGCAATCGCTAGAGTAAATTGCTACCACATCTGGGATTCCCCAGTGCCTCTCATTTTAATAGGAACTGTCAATGAAATCTGGCACAACTGTTGTGTTTTCGTAAATTATGAAGGCCCATTTTGTGTTGCAGATTAAATTATTTCTGTATGTCAATTGTAATGCTATGTAAAAAGTTAAGATGTCTACCGTTTTTCAAAAAATATTCAATTAAAACACACTTTGGCAGCATACTTGACTTTCTTTTTGTATTAAGTTGAATTGCAAAGAAAACAAATAAAGTACAATTTACAATATCTAGTATAAACAAAAAAAAATCCATAACTATTTCATATTTTGTAACTGTACATCATATATTGATTTTAAAAAATATTTCAGAAAATCTCAAGGAGAAAAATTTTAAAACAAGTTTAAAGAGAACTGCAGTTAAAAAAAATAGTAAATTATCCAACTGCGTTTTAAAGGCATTTTCACATCTCTGTATGTTTCATGAGTAACAATTATTTACAGTGATTCACATAGCTTGAGATTTTATATTTGAAATGCAAAAGAAGAACAGGGCAAGTTACACATTTTATAATTCTTATTGCATTGTTAGGATAACATCAATGAAGGTCATGAAGTAAAATAAGTCCAGTTTAGATTTCATTTGATAAATGAAAGCCTCAGAAGGCTACACCCGCTCAACAGTTATTCTTGTTAGCCTCTCTGTAAAAAAGTCGGACCATTCCAATCCACTGATTGCTAGCTGATACTGTACCTGCCAGTCGTAGACGTGTGAACGCCTGAAAACTGAGTGGTTATCCTGGACCTTCAGGTGAGCAACCTGAGATGCATGATTCTTGATGCTGCTTTTTACCTAAACCAGTCCAAACGGGTGATTCTGATGTGTCGTACACCTTACAATCTGGAGTTGCACCAACATATGATGTGTAAGGGCGAACATTTAATGGTGAACCCTGTGGAACAGTCCCAAATTTGGCCTGTGGAAAAATTCCACAAACTCATCAAATGTCGATATAAATGTGGCTTTTAATTTTGTGTGTTACTTGCTTTGTGTTCTTATTTGCATGCTTTTTTTCCTTCTTTTTTTTTAATGCAAGTTTTCTGTTTGGAGTTATTGGGGCCTGCCTAGCAATGCATAAGGAGAGCAGTTACTGACTTGCGAAGCAAGTCAGTAACTGCCTCCATGCATTGCATGGCAGGCACCTATTAATCTACACCTAATAGAATGCCTCTTGCGAAGCAAGTCAGTCACTGCTCTCCTTATGCATTGCTAGGCAGGCACCTATTAATCTACACCCAATAGAATGTCTCTTTATTATTATTGGGGCCTGCCTAGCAATGCATAAGGAGAGCAGTGACTGACTTGCGAAGCAAGTCAGTCACTGCCTCCATGCATTGCATGGCAGGCACCTATTGTTCTTCACCTAATAGAACGCCTCTTTATTATTATTGGGGCCTGCCCATAGCAATGCATAAGGAGAGCAGTGACTGACTTGCGAAGCAAGTCAGTCACTGCCTCCATGCATTGCATGGCAGGCACCTATTGTTCTTCACCTAATAGAACGCCTCTTTATTATTATTGGGGCCCTGCCCATAGCAATGCATAAGGAGAGCAGTTACTGACTTGCTTCGCAAGTCAGTCACTGCCTCCATGCATTGCATGGCAGGCACCTATTAATCTACACCCAATAGAATGCCTCTTTATTGGGGCCTGCCCATAGCAATGCATAAGG